ATATATCATAATCGATAGTATAATGTCACGATGATTACGATATATGACACATGAAATGTCAATCATCTCATAACCCTCAAAGTATAGTAAACAACGAATCTTATATACATTGCAATCGATAGTATAATGTCACGATGATTACAATATATGAAACACCAATCATCTCATAACCCTCAAAGTATAATGAATCTTATATACATCGCAATCGATAGTATAATGTCACGATGATTACAATATATGACACATGAAACGCCAGACATCTCATAACCCTCAAAGTGATATGAGCTGATTGCTCATCGTACTCCCTCCTATAGTGCACAACTTAAGAACGACTGCGTTCCATATGACTCTCATCAGCATTAGCAAACCCTAGAGAAGTAAACGTCCAAGGAAAAACAATCAAACAACTTCGTAAACCTCTGGAAATCAACAGTGCACTTGGCTGCAGCATATCAATCAAAGAAAAGATGTGGAAGCTGTTGCTCTGCAAAACAGGCATAAAAAGGGTACGTTCATAAAACAGAGTACTCGGGTCAATGACAGATTTTTGGGTACATTTCATGGCAACAAATACTTGTTTCTCATAATACAAAATGCTGTGATCAGCTAAATCCCGTTGACGTTGCAGAGAGAAGAACAATGCTGTGGTCTCGCACATAATCTCCACACAAATGTAGACCTAATTAACAAAAACAAAGGCTAGTGACTTTATTGGTCGGCCTCGTCGCATTCTGCAGCTGCGGTTAATAGCCATATCCTGATACGGAAACACATGCAAAAAATATTAATAGCAAGCAAATGAATTAGGGAACTGGAAGTATCAAAGCACGATAAAATGATGAACCTGAGTTGTTCATTGGGTTCCCAGCAGGCACAGACTCAGGTTCCTTGATGTCAACCATGACAACATCGGAGGTGAGGAACGTTTTCGAAACTGATGCAGCATGCTCCAAGCAGCACCTGACAACCTATTTCAGAAAAAAGATGGATTCTCAAACAACTTAAATGCATAGCAAATAAACAAGTAAAACTTTGCGTCAAAAATATTCTACATTATTCCAATGCCGGAAGCATTCCATAATCCCTGTAAGCAATTTATTGTAACCAGTAAATTGGATAAATATTGGAGATGGAACGTAAGCAGTAAACCCAGAATGATAAAAGCTTGATGCTACTGCTAAACTTGAAGTCAAACAGCTAGAATCATTAACCATGTGCAACTTTTTTAGGGAACACCAGAGGGGAACTTACAAAGATTGAATCTTTTACCACACATGCTATGATTCACTGACTAGGAAGCTATATGCTTTTCTTGAGTCCTTTTCCCCTTCACCTTTTTTCATTGCTTTCTTTCGATTTGGATGTATAAATAGTTAACATCATGCTATGTGAATTAATAACGATACATGTTCAGAGAAATGATGGTATCTGGGTTCAAAATGACTGGTGAGTAAATGAAGTCGAGCACTAAGTGACTACCTTCGTAGGGTCAATAATTCCAGCAGCCATTAGATCTTCATAATTTCCAGTTGCAGCATTGTAACCAAATTTAAAGTCATCATTTGAAAGCACCTGGAACAATAAGCAAGAGTTTAGTCTCTTTACTCCTAATCATTTAACGAACAAAGCAACAATAATAAAGTATGTTCAATAGAGACTTGAAATATCAAGTCTTACACCTTCTCGACGACAACACTCCCATTCACTCCAGCATTTTTTGCAATCAATTTCAATGGATAACTAAGTGCCCTCCTTACTATATCTGCTCCGA